ATGCTTTAGTGAAATATAATGTTTCGGATGTTTTAGTGAATTCTGATGCTTCATATGACAATTCTAATGCTGCTTTAGTAAGTGCTGATAATTTCTTAAACTCTACTACTAATATCGTTAATTCTGATGCTGCTTTAGTGAGTTCTGATGCTTTCTTAAACTCTGGTGCTAATATTGTTAAATCTGATGTTGCTTTAGTGCGTTCGGATGCTTTACTAAACTCTGCTGCTAATATGGTTAAATCTGATGCTTTAGTGAGTTCTGATGCTTCCTTAAACTCTGGTGCAAATATTGTTAAATCTGATACTGCTTTAGTGCGTTCTGATGCTTTACTAAACTTTGTTGCTAATATGGTTAAATTTGATGCTTTAAGTGCACACTCTAATGCCTTATTGAACTCTGGTGCTTCGTGTGCTAAATCTGATGCTTTATGTGTTCAATTTGATGCTTTAAGTGCTCACTCTAATTCTTTATTGAACTTTGATGCTTTGTGTGTAAAATCGGATGTCTTATTGACTCCTATTTCAAAGTTTGATTCAGCTGTACATTTGCTGTCTTCAATTGCCTTTGTTGCTACTTGTAATAATATTAATTCCTTAATTTGACACCAAAGGTTAGGATATCCTCATACTAAGGTTTATAGTCAAATTATGAGCTGTTTAGAGAAAAAATTAGGCAGTCAATCAGTTACATTTTATGATGCTTGCCAACTAGGCAAAATGCATCATAGTAGCTTTCCTAAGTCTCTCTATAGAGCAACTCATCCTCTTGAAGTCGTACATAGTGACATATTGGGTCCTGCCCTTATGTCTTTCACTAAAGGCTTTAAATACTATGTACAATTTCTGGACGACTTCAGTAGGTACACATGGTTATTCCTTCTTAGAACCAAAGCTGAAGTTAGATCAATCTTCATTAAGTTTCATCATTTAGCTGAGAGACTGTTTGAGCATAAACTGAAGTGCCTTCAATCCGATCAAGGTGGTGAATACAAGGGTCTAATTCCATATCTTACTAGTGTAGGAATTCAGTTTAGGCATTCATGTTCGTATATACATCAACAAAATAGGAGAAGTGAACGAAAACATCGACATGTTGTAGAAATAGGATTAACACTTTTAGCTCATGGCTCAATGCCATTAAATTTCTGGTGCCTTGCATTTGACACTGCAGTTTACTTAATAAATAGGATGCCAACTGATGTATTGCAAAATGTATTTCCTTATCCATTTGACACTACAGTTTACTTAATAAATATGATACACTAAAGGTATTTGATTGTGCTTGCTTTCCCTTTCTTAGAGTTTTTAATAAACACAAATTCAGTTTTCATTCCCAAAAGTGTGTTTTTGTAGGCTATAGCTTAGTTCATAAAGGTTACAAATGTTTGAGTCCAAATGACAGAATTTTTGTCACTCCTAGTGTTAAATTCAATGAACAAGACTTTCCTTTTTCTTCTGGTTTTGAGTCTGTACTTTTGGGTCAGTCTCCTCGACCTATACCATCATCTTCACTTTCACCTACATCCTTTCCTTTTACTATTGTCAATCATCCCTCTTGCTCAGCTGGCCCTGTTTCTCCTATAGTAGTCTGTTCTTTAAATGACTCTTCTACAACCAGTGGTAAGAATTTGCTCTCTTCTGCATCTGTTTCTAATCATTTGTCCCCATCCCCAATATCCACACCTGCAACTAACTCTTTTCTTCCTGCTATACCAAAATCCATATCTACACCTCATCATTCATCCTCATCAAATCTGCATTTATCATTTGTATCTAATCATATGTCTCCAATATCCACCACTACACCAAATTCAATTTCTTCACCTATATCAACATCCACATGTCATATTTGCCTCTGCCATCCACCACAACAAAACCTCCTAGAACTCTTGAAATTGACTTAATTGCATTTCAGCCAAATACTTTACCTTCACTTGTATCAAAACCTTCAGAACCATCTTGCTCTATTATAGTTGATCTGACTTCTTCTTAGTTTACTGAAATTCTGAGAGCCCAAAGCGTTGTGACAAATACTCATCCCATGCTTACAAGAGCTAAAGCTGCTGCTCTACCATCCAATTTACCATTTCAGTCCACAACTTTACTTGCCACTGGTCCTATTGTACCTGAACCAACCATTGTTCAAGAAGCTTTGCCAAGTTTTGAGTGGAAATCAGTAATGCAAGCTGAGTATGATGCCCTTATTCTAATAATACATGGACTCTTGTTCCATACATAGTTGACATGAATGTTGTGGGCAACAAATGGGTATTTAAGACAAAGTTCAATGTCGATGGTTCTCTCCAAAAGTACAAGGCTAGATTAGTGGCTAAAGGGTTTCAGCAAACCCTTGGACTTGATTATTTTGAAACCTTTAGTCCAGTAGTCAAGCCTTGTACAATAAGAATCATTCTTACTTTGGCTGTAACAAACAATTCGGATATCCAACAAGTGGATGTAAACAATGTTTTCCTAAATGGAACATTGAATGAAGTGGTTTATATGGTTCAACCAACTGGCTTTGAGGATGTCACTAATCCAACTTCAGTTTGTAAGCTCAACAAGGCTCTCTATGGGCTTAGACATGCTCCAATAGCCTGGTTTGACAAACTCAAAAATGCCCTTCTGCAGAAAGGTTTTATCAATTCTGTTTCAGATTCTAGCCTCTTCCCACTTCATCAAAATGGTCAAGTAACCTATATTTTAGTGTATGTTGATGATATCTTGTTGACTAGTTCTAACATGTCCTATATTAGTAAGCTGGTGCAAGAATTGAATGCTCAATTTGCTCTCAAAGCCCTTGGTTCTCAAGTACTTTCTTAGGCTAGAGGCCACTAGGACAACATTTGGTTTACATTTCAAACAGACTAAATATGCCACTGATTTGCTTGTAAAGTCACATATGATAGAAGCTAATGCTTGTTCTACTCGTATGGCCACGAGTGCAAAGTTATATCCTGGTGATAGTGAATTGTTTTCTAATCCTAGCTTGTTTAGAGGCACTACAATACCTCACTTTAACCAGACCAGATCTTAGCTTTGCAGTGCTTCACTGGCAGGCTTGTAAAAGAGTCTTAAGATATGTTCAAGGTACCAAAAATCTTGGACTAAAGTTTACTCCTGCTGCCTCTCTTCAAATCGAATGTTATATTGATGCTGATTGGGTTAGTAACATAGAAGATAGAAGATCTACCAGTGGGTATTGTATCTTTTTATGACCAAATTTGGTTCAATGGAGTTCTAGAAAACAAAAAGTAGTGGCTCTTTCTTCAACCGAGGCTAAATATAAAGCATTAGCTGATACAGCCATTGAAATTGCATGGTTAAACAGTGTATTTACTGAGTTAGGGCTGTTATTTACCAAAACTCCCGCAATATGGTGCGACAATGTGAGTGCTGGAGCCTTGGCTTCTAACCCTGTGTTTCGTGCTCGGACTAAACACATTGGAATTGACACTCACTACATAAGAGAACAAGTGTTGGCTCATAAAATTGTTGTCCGATATGTGCCCTCAAAGCTCCAAATTGCTGATATACTTACAAAATCCCTTCTTGCTGCTCAATTTGATGAGTTGAAAGCCAAGTTGACAGTCGTTTCTTGCTGAATTATTTTACTATGCTGTTTCCTATTGCTATTGGTGTGCTACATTGCCATTGGTATTGAGTTACGCAGTTCATATGCTACTGTGCTGAACTACTGGTGTGAATTAGTTCTTGTTGAGTTGTTGGTATGCTGAATTGCAGCTGATATTGAGTTGCTGATTAGTGTTGAATTGCAGCTGGTATTGAGTTTTTGGTATTGAGTTGATCTGTTCATGATGAGTTGCTGGTATGATTAGTTAATGCTTGGTTTAGCTTCTCATAGCTTACACTAACATTGTTGATGAGGATTAGTTGTTGTGAACATTAAACTTTTGGATATTGAGTTGCTGATATTGAGTTGTGGGCGTGCATTAATTAATGTTGAATTACTGGTATGCTTTGAGTTGCTGGTATGATTAGTTGATGCTTGGTTTAGCTTCTTATAGCTTACACTAACATTGTTGATGAGGATTAGTTGTTGTGAACATTAAAGTTGTTGATCAGAATTGGTTGGTGTGCAAACTAGAGCTGCTGCTGAGAATTGGTTGTTGTGCAAACATACTTCTTGTTGTCAAAGTGTAGTCTGAAGATTGCTGTCACAATTTGTTGCTGAGAATTGGTTGTTGTGCAAACATACTTGTTGCTGTCAAAGTGTAGCCTGGAGATTGCTGTCACAATTTGCTGCTGAGAATTGGTTGTTGTGCAAACATACTTGTTGCTGTCAAAGTGTAGTCTGGAGATTGCTGTCACAATTGTATTTTTTTTTTTGTTAAGCTTGCTGCCAAAGTGTAGTCCAGAAATTGCAATAAGCTACTGCTCAAAATTTTCTCAATCTACTTGAATTTTTTGTTCACCTGCAATTTTCAACTGCAAGCCAGTTCAACTTGAGGGAGGCTATCAGTCAAGCCAATTTTTTTTTTTTCTTTTTTTTTGCAAAGCAAGCTTTCACTGCAAGACAGTTTAGCTTGAGGGAGGCTATTTGTCAAGCTGATTAAGGACAGCCTACAAACGTCATCGTTTTTAGGCTCCTCTTCAAAATGTGCCGTTTTAAGCATATGTGTTTTAAGTGTTCTGTTTCTTTTGTTCTAGGACTTTAGCCAAAACGCTCTCTGCTTCTACTTAAAAGGGCAAGTCAAATGTAATTTTTCTTCTTCAGTTCAGTTAATACAAGATTCACGATTTCCTTCTCAAATTCTCTCCAAACCCTTACTGAAATTGCACAAACTCCTAGGGTAACTGATTTTTTCCTATATAAATATATTCCATGTTATCTTTTGTTTGTGGAATTTACACACATCCCTAATTTTAATAGACATTCAAGCAATTACGTATTATTACTTATGTGAGAAGAAATAATAGATTTAAATATAAAAATGCAATACATCTTATTTAACACTTAATTTAAAAAAAAAAAAAAAAACTCTAACCACTACTAGTGACCATCTCCCTACAAATGTGCGATGGGATTAACAAGTAAGGATAATACGCGATCTTTAGTCTCATGATCTTGAATACCATGTCCATCCCCATGTTGGTACATGCATTGAGCCATCCTGGCAAGATTCATTGCAATTTCAATAAAAGTAGTGTTTGACAAGTGAGGATTTTCAAGCCGATCTTTGTTCATCTTCATCCATGTTGCAATAATCATTTCTTTTATGTGTTTACGAGCGTCTTCTTTAGATGCTCAGTTTCATACATGTAACATTGGATAGATTTTGCAACATCCCCTCTTTTCAACTCGTCCTAAATAAGAGAACAATAGATTTTATTAAATTAATAATCAAGATGAATTGAAAAATAAATCCATTCAAGAGATTGTGGCATGTTACATACAGATGATGTTCCTAAGTCGTCTGCAAGTCGTAATATTATTGATGACCAACGAATTATATCGTTGTATTCATCCAAGCATTCTAAGGCTTCCTTTGTTATTGGATTTGTAACTAAAAAATAAGCATGCACTAGAATTACAGGAGCAGATATAGAAATCCATGCATTGTCAATGTATTCTGCAAGGGTAGGGATGTATCCACTATGGTACCACTTTGCCTCCAATAAATAACATTTACATAAATCTGCCCACTGAAACAATTTACAATGATTTTAATCAGTTAAAATAAAAAACATATAAATCTACAACATGAAGACTTTTATGTTAATATTCTATAAGAAAAAGAGACTTTACCGCTTTCGTTAGGTAAGGAGTAATGTTAATTCCTTGTTCTTTGAGAGCGTCAAAACCCATTTCGTTTATGGAATTATAAAGAGTAAGAAAACATATCTTCATGTATTGTGGAAGTTGCTCCATTGTCTTTATGCCCCATCTACAATACAATAGATGCAAAAATTAAAAAAAAAAAAAAAAAAAAAAAAAAATCCCAGATACTTTGGAGTTAAAATATGTTAGACCCCCCATACATAAGGTCTATAAATCTAAGGGTAGGGGAAGGAATAAGGATAAAGGGACACGTTGAGTATGGGTTTGTTACAAAATGGTGAGGTGGGCAATAAGGGTTGTTAGGATTGATGAGTTTGTTAGGAGGTTGTACACCTGGCTGTCATAAGGGTTACAGAATGGAAGAATTAGCTTATAAAAGGGAGAGTATGTGGGAGAGTAGAGCATCAAGTAATATTTCTCTGGAATTGTTTGGGAGGTCCCCAGCTCCTCGAATTGCTGGGACTATCAGTTATTTCAATTGTTCTGTTTTCATATTTGTTCAGTATCTATCAATACAATCTGCTTTTGCCTCTTTTCGTGCATATTGTTTGTTCTGTGTTTGTGTTGTTGGTTGTGGAACTTTGGATTGCAGGAGGTTTCCAACAAAATATGTATCAAATCTACCAAATATATGGCCACCAACCTTTCAACAACATCTGTAAAGAGCTCAAGTTCATCCAAGGTACCATAGACGTCATAGACATCATCAATGGTTGTAATTAAAGCATTGACCTTTGTGGACATCCTCCTACAATATCCTAACTCAGGTTTGAATATCACTCCCACAGTCCATAAGAAATTCTCCATCAACCTGTCCCTTGCAAAACTTAATTTCTCTCCAAGACCATTATTCTTCCACCACCTTATGTATATATACGAGTACAGGAAACCTTTTAGTAAGATAAGAAGTTCCTACTTTTAGTGTATTAAGAAAAGTTAGACTTTATGTGGTCTCAAATTAACTACACTCTTACCTTGATGAATATTTTAGATCGTCTTGGTGCGTTGCTTGTACCATGTTGTAATCCAGTTTAGCAAGCTCAAGCACGATACCGCTCATGTCAGGTCTTCTCTTATATACATCCATGAACCACCTTGCCTCCAATCTTAGCATCCGCCAATTCAGTGGAAGCTCCAATGCATGGCTCACTAGAGTGGAGAGATATTGATCTTTGTTATCCTTCACATATGCCTTAAGGTATGAGGTCGTGAAACTTCTAATATCATGGAAGATCGCATTCTCTCCTTCTTTCAATAGAAATGCAGCTTCATACAATGATAAAATTTGTTTGCAATCATCATTGAGGCATGACTTGAAGTTTTGCTTCTCATCCCTGAAATTATTGAAAATTTCTAAAAAGAAAAAAATTCATGACATTATTATTTCCATCACATGATGTTTCCGAGATTTAAAAGAATCAATGTATAGCATGATGTTTCCAAGATTTAATATTTGACTATAATTAATTTTTTTTTTTTCTAATTTTTCTTATTTATGCATTTTGAATACCTGCTGGTATGTCATAACCATGTTGTCTTAAGAGTCTGAATTCAAGAGCTACGGTGTATAAACTTTCCAGCTTTTGGTTTTTGTTATATATGCTATTCAGAATGCTCTTAATTTCATTCTCAAAGTGATACGATATTCCAAGTCTTTGCAAATCATCAACGAGCTCCAGTTGATGTAAGGGATCGACCACAGTGTCTAGCATCAGCCCCACATCTTTTTTCAGCTGTTTCACTCGCTTGGCACATGATTCTCCCTACATGATTAAACTTTTGTCAGGCAACTGCAGTAATTAATTTCATACTACTATAACATTAAAAATTATTAAGCAAAGAGTAATACTAGCTTTACAAATAAGCATATAAAGAGCCAAATCCAGTCCTTGAAATTCATGATTGCCTCTTTCTCTCTCTCTCTTTTTCCCTTATTTCAAGGATTGGATTTGACTCTTTGTATGATTCTTTGTATGCCTCTTTGTAAGGCTAGTATTACTCTTAAGCAAATCATAACAAAATTGCAAACTAATAAGATTTAACACTGTTTAAACCACAGTGCAGAAAATAAAAAAATTAATAGAATTATAATCCTCATAAAAGATTAAGGACATATACCACATATTTGAACGAAATAGAGAAGCAACAGGAACAAAATAATAATAGTTAAACAAAACAAACAGTAAACAAAGAATTTAATACGCGTGATTTACCCTGGTTCACCCAATGTAGGCTACGTCCAGCTGAGTCAATATTATTGCAATATGCCTCACCTCTCTCGTTTACAATGAATGAATTGTTCTCACACCCATAACAAGAGAAAAGTATGTTTATATACTAGGTTTAAGAGATTAAACCTAGTTTTACAAGAATTCCTATTCCTAAGCCCAACCCAAAAAGGAATTAATAACTTAAAAGAAATCCTACAGCGGTTATACATGGAAAAGCCCAAAACCGCCTACGNTTAAGAAGAAAACAAATAATCCCCTAAATGATAAAACTTCTTACAAAAGTAAAACAAAAAGATTTTTCATATGACCTAATTAACTTAATAAATAGACGATTAATAGCATTATATATAATATTGGATTGGACCGACTTTTCTTGCACCTTACAAACAAAAAGTTTATAAAATCATATTCTCAGATAACAATCCGAAATTCCTAAAATATAAATTTCACAAAATGAAGATTTTTAAAATTATTTTCCACTATCAATACAATGATAATCATGTTTGAGAGTTATATATCAAACACATACCTGCCATTTTATATTAAAAAAATGTGCTATCGAAACCTAATAAAATAAAAATAAAATACAGTTTCCTCTTTCCTGCTAGATTAGAATTTATGATGTTATCAAACATGTGTCTAAATATCCAGCAACAAATTATTACTTAATGTATAGCCGAATAACAAATAAATAACTAAACTATAGAGACCGAAAAACCATCAGTCGAGCAGAATAACAAGACAACAGCATGTTTAATTTCTCTAATAAAATAAAAAGCAGCTACTAAAACTTAGATTATTTATAGAAGCATGCAAGTTCATGTCACACATATTCAATGTGAAGGGAATATTGTTGCAAACAAAGAACTCCAGGACACCAAATTACTGCCAAAGTAAATGCAATTCCCACTTAGTGACTTTCTATTTTTTGTGTCACATGCTTAGTCCGTGTTTGAGTATCCCTCTAGCTCAAATCTTCTTCCAGAATGTCCATAATTGATGGTAGCCAATGCAAGTTTGTAGGCTCCTGCAAAAATTGGCTGAGCTTGTTTACTTCAAATTAGATATCTGGTCGTTTATTGTGTTAATAGCCTTATTTGTTTACAAAATCTTAAAATATTAACAGTCATTTTGATATTACATAAACAAATAAGAAATTTTTGTTATATGCTAAACTAATAGGGGTTCAATTCATTTATCAATAATTGTTTTGAAAAATTTGCAAGTATGGGGTAATTTTTCCCCTATACTCATATACAATAATAATAATAATAATAAATAAATAAAATAAAATAAAATGAGCTAGGAAGTCCTAATAGTTATTATGTCAACACCATGCTTAAATACTGTTAGATTCATGTAAAAATTGAAATAATATTTTAAGATAAAAACAATGTTCTAAAGGGCTACCAAGTGCCAGAGTTAGAGGAGTTTTGTAGAGTGAAAGTCGATGGTTCAAGGGGTAGTGTTGGATTGAATTTCGACAGCTGAATAAGCCGGACTTTGGTAAGAAAATTCAACCCAATATGGGGGTCACGGTTGACAAACGGGGGGCTACCAAGTGTCGAGGTTAGAGAGGTTCTGTAGAATAGAGGCCGGTGGTTTAGGTGGTGGTGTTTGATTGAATGTTGGAATAAGCTGAAATTTGGTCAGAAAAATCAACTCAATCGCGACAGTGTTCGCGAGTCACGATTGGCAAACAAACGGCTACCAAGTTCCAAGGTTATGGAGAGTGGAGGACGATGGCTTAGGTGGTGATGTCAGATTGAATTTTGGCCAACGGAATCAGCTGGAATAGTCAAAACCCAAACAGTTTATAGGGGTGTATTTGCTATATTTCAAACCTATAGGGACTGAAAATTTTGTAGGGGTGTGTTTGTAATTTAAACTTTTTGGACCTACAAATTTTTTAAGTTTTTAACAATCTGGCAATTGTAGATCACAATGAATTATTCAACGTTTGATAATTTTTTATTAAAGTATGTAATACGATTGTCTTTCTTGAATCTTGATTTAACATTTATATGCTAGGGAATATTTGATGGTATTTTTCTCCATTTCTTTATTATAGGATGAGTCAGAAGAAGGAAAAAAAAAAAAAGTTGCAAGCTCACACGGGGTTGTTCAATGATAAAAAAAAAGATAAAATCTTATCACTGGTACAATTGATTTGAAGATTAATTACATTGTTATTTCTAAGATTTGCTATAAAAACGTTAATATCATGTTCTTTAGGAATAATCTAAAACTCTTGTTCAAAGATCCTTTGCATTAACTTCTAGAGTTTCAAGTAACAAAATAGAGTGTTTGGTTGAAAGAGAAAGAATATGATAATCTGTTTTATAATTAGATATATGAGATCCCAAATTGTACAAATTACATGCGATCCTTTACTTTTACAGGCAGAATTCACCCTGGAAGGAAAAGTTTCACAAAGTTAATTATATGTTACTAATGTGACAATGTCACTCTCAAGCTTAATTTTGTGTTTTTTCTTACCGACTCATTCATTCTTGCCATATTAACCATATTAATTTAATCTCCATCTTAAGCTGGTTTCCTTCAGTTGGGCTTCATTATGCTTTTAAAGCTTCTTCTAAGACCAACTAATTTTCTTCATAGCTAGCAAATTCTTCTTAGGGCCTGAGCCCACTTTCCCAGCATTCCATGTCAACAATTAATAAACTACTAATTAATCAAGAAAACTGCTTGTTATTCTCCATACAGTTACAGTACGAAAGTTGCTTTGTCGAACCCGTTCTCGTCACTGTGTTTAATCCAAATAATCATAAAACTATGAAATCTAATACCACTTTGTAAATATGGCATGCAGATAAAATTCTCACAAGCCCCTAGCTAATAATTAATATTTATGCTAGATGAAAACAACTTGAGATTGTGAAAAATGTAGATCTTATACCAATAATTATAAGAAATAATTTTTAAATAAAACATATAATAATAAATCAATCAACATAACATAACATCAAGCCACAATGCCAAAAAACAACCACAATGGATCAAGCATAATTGAAGCAAGAGTGTTATTGGATTTCAAATTTTATGCTTTAAGGGAGGCTATTAGGACTTAAACTGGATTTCAAATATATGAGACCACTTTTAGGTTGGATACCACTAACCCCAGTAGTTTTTAAAAGTATATATAGTTGTATGTTTCATAGGTGAAGAGAGCTGCAATTTATATTCATTTACAAACTAACAGCACAGTTGAATATTATGGTATTCGATATGTTGTCTTGGCGGTGCGATCCCAACGATGAAAAAAGGAAAGATTTTCAAGGCAATTGTCACCTGTTTTGTTGTGGTATTGGGGGTGATTTAGTTCTTGTACTAGAATGTAAAGAAATCAAAGAATTTGATTTTTTCATTGCCACCAGGTCCCCTTGGTTTACCATTAATCAAATACCTTCAATTTTCTCGGTTCTCACCTCGCTGTATAATTCACAGAATTGGCTAGGGTATATTTATGTCCCATTTACAAGGTCTGGCTTGGAAATAAATTATGTGTAGTGGTGAGCTCACCTTAACTAGCTAGAGAAGGAGTTCATGACCAAAATACTATCTGTGCTATCAGCGATCCTTCCTTTTCCCTTCTCCTTTAACAACTACCATATTCCTATGCCGCTCAATAGCAGGATCAAGACTAATCTTTTTGGCATAGAACAAAATCTTCTTTGTCCGCTTTGTATTCCATATTTCCCTGTAAATCAAACCTCAAAAGCACTGGAAAGATGTTTGAATATTAGCTGCTCAATTCTGTAAATAATTTAGCCAGGTGAGAACCAAGAAATGGAAGGTATCCAGTTAATAGTAAACCACGATGACCTAGTGGCAGAGGAAAAATCAAATTCTTTGATTTCTTTACATTCCAGTACAAGAACCAAATCACCCCAATACCACAACAAAACAAGTGACGATTACCTTCAAAATATTTCCTTTATCATCTTTGGGATTGCACTACAAGACAACATATCAAATTCCATAATATTCAACTCTACTATTAATATGTAAACTTGGTAAAACGGGTCTATACCCGTACGTACCCATTTTGAAAACAGGTACGGGTAGACATTTTAGGATCCGTTTTCACGTAACCCGTACCCGGTCTAACCCGTTTTCTAAACGGTTGGGCCGGATATACCCGCAAGTGGCTGCAGCCTGCGGGTACCCATATTTTGAAGGAATTAAAAAAAAAAAAACTTTTTCAGTCTAGCCTTTTCTTTCAAACACTATCACTTACTCTTCTCATTCTCAAAATACTATCACAGTAGGATTTTGCTGTCGTGACCCGCCGACACCACCCATACCCATCTCACTTTCAAACACTATCACCTCTTCATTCTCACTTTCTCACATCCCATACCCATCACATACCCGCCGCCGCTGCCGCTCTCTCATCTCTTACTCCGTACTTCAAGTACACGACACCCAGCGGCAACGGCCAGCGTACAATCACCGCACGACTCCACCGGTAGTTTCCACTATCTGCAGCATGTGTGTTTTTGTTGGATAAATCTCTTGTGGATTATT